TATATGAATAAAACTTTGAAAATTCAGCGACCGTTCTTAAGTGATCGAACTTAATGACACAAGGATACATATTTTACATAATTTGATATCAGTAATCTAGGCCATTTTAACTTTTCAAAAACAATATGTAAATATGTTGACAGATTCTTCAATTCTAACAGTTTTCTCCCTTCTACGTTGTCACAACGTTGTGGCCTGACATTGTGCTACGTCAATTTTTTATATTCTCTGAATAAAAGACGTGTACAATGTAAAAAAAGACGTATAAAGCTGGACTTACCCGATTTCTTTGCTTTTATTTACACATAGATATAACATTCGCTCACTCAGCCATACTATATTAATACAGAAATAAACTGATTCACATTGTCAATGTTTACTACTGAAAAAGATTTTTACATTGTTTCCATTTGTTTGGTATTCCTGAAATCTAGCTTTGCTATAATCATGTCAGAGACGTAACGTGTACGCGAGACGGCCTATCGTCTCTTGTACGCGAGACGGGTGCGCTCCGCGGTACTAACTGAAGAGCTTGACCCTAATTAATTCAATCACTGTGGAACCAACTCGATTGGGTGCAAACACGGCGCGGGGAGATTAAAGCGTCCCGTAAAATCTCCAAGCGTGGTGGTTACTTGACAGTCGTGAATAAACGGGTTTTTCGGGAAGAAACACCACGCTCAGGGTCGGTTGTTTACATATGCAAATTACGTAAAAACAATTAATCGCATTTGAAAATGTGATTTAATTTAGTGGATGTCATGGCTAATTTTAGAAATGTTAAAGTATTCATCTTTGCAGTGAGTTCTGGAACATTTTGAAACTAATATAACTCTACCGCCATTGCATCTTGCATGAATCAAAACTTACTTCGTCAAGAGTAATCCTGCAAACAACTATAAAGTCATTTGCATATTTTCCGGAAGTGACGTATTGTGTACCTTCACCTGCAAATCCAGCACACAGCTCGCTTTTTAAACAATCATGATAATATCTGATTCTATCTATCTTGCGGTAATAGTTCAATTCTTTTTTAAATAGAGATAAATGCGGTATTCGATTTGTAAGTTTACATTTATAGATATGCAATTTACCTAATAAGATTATCAAGTCAAATATAGCATCGCTGTCTAAGGATTCTGAAAAACCAAATAACACCGGATCACAATGGAGTATAATTCTGGTAGCATATCCACTATCTTCCAAAAAGATCCTCTTTCTCTACATCCCCAAAACATATTAGGAGTATCATTTCCTAACATCACATTTGCAGAATCATTTCCAAAATGTGCCAAATTGTAATAATTTGGAACAGTAGTAAGTAGCAGGTGTTTCAACTTTTTGTCATAATCATTAAACAATTTCCGTATCCACGTCAACTTCAGTGCATAAACGTAAGCAAATATATAATCATTCCTAATCCCCCTTCTACAACAGGTTTACAAGATTCAGTTCTTTTAATTCTATCTGGCTTGTTGTCACTAAGGAAACTAATGAGAATGCAATTTAGCGTTTTAAGGAAGTCTCCTGGTGGATTTGGTAGAATAAGAAAAAGTAATTTAACTTTGAAATCAGTAATGACTTAATAATAGCTCTTTTCCCCAATGGAGTAATAATTCTTTTCATCCATTGTTTAATTATTGGCTCAATTTCATATATTTTACTTGCAAAATTACGTTTTACCATCTTATCATAGTCAACTGAGAATGTTATACCAACAAAAATCACTCAAGTTCCTTGTGAGTAATCATTGTTATAACTTGAATGAAACGATAAGCTTGTCATGATTTTGTTTGCAACAGGGATCGTTATTACAAAGAGGATATATATTTTAAAGCATGAGGCAATTGTGAAATAGGCAGTAGAAAAAGGTTGTTCCGAATAATGAAGTAGTTTGAAAGCTTCAACATGTGTGAATAGATCTAATGGAGATGTGAAATTTGTCAGGAGTGTTTAGATGCTACGGTAGGTTATATGCCATTCACTTCCACTGAAGATGGAAAATGTTTTGTCAAGACAGGAAAAGAAATACTTTTATTCCTTCAACTTTCTGTAGACATAGGTGTTTGATCATGTCTTTCCTTGGAAATCAGCACCAACTTTGAGAGACCCAGACCAATTCTGATTTTTTTTTGTATGCGATCACTTAGCAACTTGAGGGATACCAACCCACTTGATACCAGCCCAATGCCTGACGTTCTCTGTATAATATACCAATCCTTCTTGAGGTATCTACCCCATCCCTGCCTTTCCCTGTATTAAATCACCAACCCACTTGTGGGGTCCACCCCATCCCTGACTGTCTATGTATAAGATCACATCCCACTTGAGGGATCCAAACAATCCCTGACTGTCTATGTATAAGATCACATCCCGCTTGAGGGATCCACCCCAATCCCTGACTGTCTATGTATAAGATCACATCCCACTTGAGGGATCCAAACAGTACCTTACTGTCTATGTATAAGATCACATCCTAGTCCTACTTGAGGGATCCACCCAATCTCCGACTGTCTGTGTATAAGATCACATCCCACTTGAGGGATCCAGCCAATCCCTGACTGTCTATGTATAAGATCACATCCCACTTGAGGGATCCACCCCATCCCTGACTGTCTATGTATAAGATCACATCCCACTTGAGGGATCCACCCAATCCTTACTGTCTATGTATAAGATCACATCCCACTTGAGGGATCCACCCCATCCCCTGACTGTCTATGTATAAGATCACATCCCACTTGAGGGATCCACCCCATCCCCTGACTGTCTATGTATAAGATCACATCCAACTTGAGGGATCCACCAAATCCCTGACTGTCTATGTATAAGATCACATCCCACTTGAGGGATCCAAACAATCCCTAACTGTCTATGTATAAGATCACATCCCACTTTAGGGATCCACCCCATCCCTTACTGTCTATGTATAAGATCACATCCCACTTGAGGGATCCACCCAATCCCTGACTGTCTATTTATAAGATCGCATCCCACTTGAGGGATCCACCCAATCCCTGACTGTCTATGTATAAGATAACATCCCACTTGAGGGATCCACCCCATCCCTGTCTGTCTATTTATAAGATCGCATCCCACTTGAGGGATCCACCCAATCCCTGACTGTCTATGTATAAGATCACATCCCACTTGAGGGATCCAAACAATCCCCTGACTGTCTATGTATAAGATCACATCCCACTTGAGGGATCCACCCAATCCCTGACTGTCTATGTATAAGATCACATCCCACTTGAGGGATCCAACCAATCCCTGACTGTCTATGTATAAGATCACATCCCACTTGAGGGATCCAACCAATTCCTGACTGTCTTTGTATAAGATCACATCCCACTTGAGGGATCCAAACAATCCCTTACTGTCTATGTATAAGATCACATCCCACTTGAGGGATCCACCCAATCCCTTACTGTCTATTTATAAGATCGCATCCCACTTTGAGGGATCCACCCAATCCCTGACTGTCTGTCACATGTGCCGCTTGTATCTGACTGTCTGTGTATAGGTCACATCCTTGAAGGATCACCAATCCTGACTGTATAAGATCACATCCCACTTGAGGATCCACCCCATCCTGACTGTCTATGTGATAAGATCACCCAATCCCTTTACTGTCTATGTAGGGATCCACCCTCTTGAGGGATCCCTGACTGTCTATGTATAAGATCACATCCCACTTGAGGGATCCACCCAATCCTGACTGTCTATTTATAAGATCACATCCCTCTTGAGGGATCCACCCAATCCTGACTGTCTGTATAAGTCACAAGGATCCATTCATCCCTGACTGTCTAGGGATCACATCCCTTGAATCCACCCACTGACTGTCTATGTATAAGATCACATCCCGCTTGAGGGATCCACCCAATCCCTGACTGTGTGTATGGATCATAAGATCACATCCCACTTGAGGGGATCCACCCATCCTGACTGTCTATGTATAAGATCACATCCCACTTGAGGGATCCACCTAATCCCCTTACTGTCTATGTATAAAGATCACATCCCATCCCACTGTCTATGTATAAGATCCACCCATCCCTTGACTGTCTATCCCATCCCACTTGAGGGATCCACCCAATCCCTGACTGTCTATGTATAAGATCACATCCCTTGAGAAGGATCCGCCAATCCTTACTGTCACCCAATGTATATAAGATCGATCCCACTTGAGGGATCCGCCCCATCCTGACTGTCTATGTATAAAGATCACATCCCACTTGAGGGATCCACCCTATCCCCTGACTGTCTATGTATAAATCACATCCCTTGATCATCCCACGGGGATCCACCCAATCCCTGACTGTCTATGTATAAGATCACATCCCACTGAGGGATCTGACTGTATAAGATCAAGATCACATCCCGCTTGTATAACAGGGATCACACCATCCTGACTGTCTATGTATAAGATCACATCCCACTTGAGGGATCCACCCAATCCCCTTACTGTCTATGTATAAGATCACATCATCGCTTGGATCCACCCAATCCCTTACTGTCTATGTATAAGATCACATCCCACTTGAGGGATCCACCCAATCCCTGACTGTCTATGTATAAGATCACATCCCACTTGAGGGATCCACCCCATCCCCTGACTGTCTATGTATAAGATCACATCCCACTTGAGGGATCCACCCAATCCCTGACTGTCTATGTATAAGATCACATCCCACTTGGGGGATCCACCCCATCCCTGACTGTCTATGTAAGATCATAAGAGGGGATCACCCAATCCCTGACTGTCTATGTATAAGATCACATCCCACTTGAGGGATCCACCCCATCCCCTGACTGTCTATGTATAAGATCACATCCCACTTGAGGATCCACCAATCCCCTGACTGTCTATGTATAAGATCACATCCCACTTGAGGGATCCACCCAATCCTCACTGACTGTCTATGTATAAGATCACATCCCTTTTGAGGGATCCACCCAATCCCTCTGTTATAAAGATCGCTCACTTGAAGAGGATGTCCTACTGTCATGTAAGATCACATCCCACTTGAGGGATCCACCCAATCCCTGACTGTCTATGTATACAGATCACATCCTGACTTGAGGGATCCACCCCATCCCTGACTGTCTATGTATAAGATCACATCCCACTTGAGGGATCCACCCATCCTGACTGTGTCTATGTATAAGATCACATCCTATCTTGAGGGATCCACCCAATCCTTACTGTCTATTTATAAGATCATCCCACTTGAAGGATCCACCCAATCCTGACTGTCTATGTATAAGATCCGCATCCCATTCTTCTAGGGATCCAAACAATCCTGTGACTGTCTATGTATAAGATCATCCCGCTTGAGGGATCCACCCAAATCTGACTGTCTATATATAAGATCATATCCCACTTGAGGGATCCAAACAATACCTTACTGTCTATGTATAAAGATCACATCCTAGTCCTAGCGAGAGGGATCCACCCAATCCGCTGACTGTCTATGTATAAGATCACATCCCACTTGAGGATCACCCAATCCTGACTGTCTATGTATAGATCACATCCCATTCTGAGAGGATCCACCCAACCCAATCCTTTACTGTCTATGTATAATATCACATCCCACTTTTGTGATCCACCCCAATCCCTGACTGTCTATGTATAAGATCACATCCCACCTGAGGGATCCAAACAATCCCTTACTGTCTATGTATAAGATCACATCCCACTTGATAAGATCACATCATAGTCCCACTTGTGGGGTCCACCCCATCCCTGACTGTCTATGTATATGATCACATCCCACTTGAGGGATCCACCCAATCCCTGACTGTTTATGTATAAGATCACATCCGACTTGAGGGATCCACCCAATCCCTGAGTGTCTATGTATAAGATCACATCCCACTTGAGGGATCCACCCCATCCCTGACTGTCTATGTATAAGATCACATCCAACCTGAGGGATCCACCCAATCCCTTACTGTCTATGTATAAGATCACATCCCTCTTGAGGGATGCACCCCATCCCTGACTGTCTATGTATAAGATCAGATCCCACTTGAGGGATCCACCCAATCCCTTACTGTCTATGTATAAGATCACATCCCACTTGAGGGATCCACTCCATCCCTGACTGTCTATGTATAAGATCACATCCCACTTGAGGGATCCACCCCATCCCTGACTTGTTCTGTATAAGATCACATCCCACTTGAGGAATCCACCCCATCCCCTGACTGTCTATGTATAAGATAACATCCCACTTGAGGGATCCACCCAATCCCTTACTGTCTATTTATAAGATCACATCCCACTTGAGGGATCAAACCCATCCCTTACTGTCTATGTATAAGATCACATCCCACTTGAGGGATCCAAACAATCCCTTACTGTCTATGTATAAGATCACATCCCACTATAGGATCAAACCAATCCCTTACTGTCTCTGTATAAGATCACATCCCACTTGAGGGATCCACCCAATCCCCTGACTGTCTATGTATAAGATCAGATCCCACTTGAGGGATCAAACCAATCCCTTACTGTCTATGTATAAGATCACATCCCACTTGAGGGATCCAAACAATCCCTTACTGTCTATGTATAAGATCACATCCCACTATAGGATCAAACCAATCCCTTACTGTCTCTGTATAAGATCACATCCCACTTGAGGGATCCACCCAATCCCCTGACTGTCTATGTATAAGATCACATCCCACTTGAGGGATCCATCCAATCCCTGACTGTCTATGTGTATAAGATCACATTCCACCCAGCACCAACTTTGAGAGATCCAGACCAAATCTAATTTTTTTCTGTTTGCGATCACTTAGCAAATTGAGGGATACCAACCCACTTGATGAATCCAGCCCAACCCCTGACGTTCTCTGTATAAGATATAAATCCTTCTTGCCGTATCTACCCAATCCCTGCCTTTCCTTGTATGAGATCACCAACCCACTTGAGGGATCCATCCCAATCCCTGACTTGTTCTGTATACGATCACATCCCACTTGAGGTATCCACCCAATCCCTGACTGTCTCTCTATGAGATCACCAGCCCACTTGAGGGATCCACCCCAATCTCTGACTGTCTCTATGTATGAGATTACATCCCACTTGAGGGAACCACCCCAATCCCTGACTTGTTCTGTATGAGATCTTCCCAATACGTGACACCTTCTCTGTATGAGATCACCAACCCACTCGAGGGATCTTCCTAATACGTGACACCTTCTCTGCATGAGATCACCAACCCACTCGAGGGATCTTCCTAATACGTGACACCTTCTCTGTATGAGATCACCAACCCACTCGAGGGATGTTCCCAATACGTGACACCTTAGCTTCTCTGCATGAGATCACCAACCCACTCGAGGGATGTTCCCAATACGTGACACCTTCTCTGTATGAGATCACCAACCCACTCGAGGGATCTTCTAATACGTGACACCTTCTGTATGAGATCACCAACCCACTCGAGGGATCTTCCTAATACGTGACACCTTCTCTGTATGAGATCACCAACCCACTCGAGGGATGTTCCCAATACGTGACACCTTCTCTGTATGAGATCACCAACCCACTCGAGGGATCTTCCCCAATACGTGACACCTTCTCTGTATGAGATCACCAACCCACTCGAGGGATCTTCCCAATACGTGACACCTTCTCTGTATGAGATCACCAACCCACTCGAGGGATCTTCCTAATGCGTGACACCTTCTCTGCATGAGATCACCAACCCACTCGAGGGATCTTCCTAATACGTGACACCTTCTCTGCATGAGATCACCAACCCACTCGAGGGATCTTCCTAATACGTGACACCTTCTCTGTATGAGATCACCAACCCACTCGAGGGATGTTCCCAATACGTGACACCTTCTCTGTATGAGATCACCAACCCACTCGAGGGATCTTCCCAATACGTGACACCTTCTCTGTATGAGATCACCAACCCACTCGAGGGATCTTCCTAATGCGTGACACCTTCTCTGCATGAGATCACCAACCCACTCGAGGGATCTTCCCAATACGTGACACCTTCTCTGTATGAGATCACCAACCCACTTGAGGGATCCATCCCATTCCCTGACGTTCTCTGTGTGAGATCAGGAGCCCACTTCAGCAATGCAGTCCAATCCCCGACGCTCTCTTCACCAACCCACTTGAGGGATCCACCCTAATCCTGACTGTCTCTCTATAATATCACCTACCCACTTGAATAACCCACCCCAATCCCTCACTCTCTCTGTATGAGATACCAACCCCTTTGAATAATCCACCCCAATCCCTGACTTGCTCTGTATAAGATAACCAACCCACTTGAGGGATCCACCCAACCCCTGACTGTCTTTGTATGAGATCACCAACCCACTTGAGGGGTCCACAACATCTTCCTTAATTGCACATCATTACTAATTCACACTTATTCAGTAAACCTGAAGGTAGCACAGATGCACAAACTTGCATGTCACCCTTGTTCAGGGTCCTAAAATCTTCCAGTGACTTGTTTTGTAAGTTAGGTAATGGAAGGTAAGAAGGTAATGGATATTGGCTGGTTCAAGATAATATTTTGTTATTTTAGACCATTCCATACGCCTGCCCCATCCCATGTGGACTTTCGGATGGCAAGATGATAATAGTAAAGGGCATCTGTGATCAGGACCAGGACGCGTGAGTGTGTAAACATGTAAATGTATACATCTTGTGCATATGCTTTGCTGAAGTAACAGGCAGTGATAAAACAGCTAGCCACAGGCAGAGGGACTAGCCACATACATAGAAAGGGGATTAGCCACATACAGAGATAGGGGACTAGCCACATACATAGATAGGGGGCTAGTCACATACATAGATAGGGGACTAGCCACATACATAGATAGGGAATTAGCCACATACAGAGATAGGGACTAGCCACATACAGAGATAGGGGACTAGCCACATACATAGATAGGGGACCAGCCACATACATAGATAGGGGACTAGCCACATACATAGATAGGGGATTAGCCACATACAGAGATAGGGGATTAGCCACATACACAGATAGGGGACTAGCCACATACATAGATAGGGGACTAGCCACATACATAGATAGGGGATTAGCCACATACAGAGATAGGGGATTAGCCACATACAGAGATAGGGGACTAACCACATACATAGATAGGGGACTAGCCACATACATAGATAGGGGATTAGCCACATACAGAAATAGGGGATTAGCCACATACACAGATAGGGGACTAGCCACATACATAGATAGGGGACTAGCCACATACATAGATAGGGGATTAGCCACATACAGAGATAGGAGATCACATACATAGATAGGGGATTAACCACATACAGAGATAGGGGATTAGCCACATACAGAGATAGGGGACTAGTCACATACAGAGGTAGAGGGACTAGCCATATACACAGATAGGGGACTAGCAACATACACAGATAGGGGGCTAGTCACATACAGAGATAGGGGGCTAGCCACATACATAGATAGGGGATTAGTCACATACAGAGGTAGGGGACTAGCCACATACACAGATAGGGGGCTAGTCACATACAGAGGTAGAGGGACTAGCCATATACACAGATACGGGACTAGCCACATACACAGATAGGGGACTAGCCACATACAGAGGTGGGGAACTAGTCACAGAGGTAGAGGAACTAGCCCAAAAAAGAGGTAGAGGGACTAGTCACATACAGAGGTAGAGGGACTAGCCATATACACAGATAGGGGACTAGCCACATACACAGATAGGGGGCTAGCCATATACACAGATAGGGGATTAGTCACATACACAGATATAGGGCTAGTCACATACACAGATAAGGGGCTAGTCACATACAGAGATAGGGGACTAGCCATATACAGAGATAGGGGACTAGTCAATTACAGAGATGGGGAACTAGTCGCTTACAGAGGTAGAGGAACTAGCCACAAAAAGAGGTAGAGGGACTAGTCACATACAGAGGTAGATGGACTAGCCATATACACAGATAGGGGACTAGCCATATACACAGATAGAGGACTAGCTATATACACAGATAGGGGACTAGCCACATACACAGATAGGGGGCTAGTCACATACACAGATAGGGGGCTAGTCACATACAGAGATAGGGGGCTAGCTATATACACAGATAGGGGACTAGCCACATACACAGATAGGGGGCTAGTCACATACACAGGTAGAGGGACTAACCATATACACAGATAGGGAACTAGCCACATACCCAGATAGGGGGCTAGTCACATACAGAGATAAGGGGCTAGCCATATACACAGATAGGGGGATAGTCACATACAGAGATAGAGGGACTAGCCATATACACAGATAGGGGACTAGCCACATGCACAGATAGGGGGCTAGTCACATACAGAGATAGAGGGACTAGCCATATACACAGATAGGGGACTAGTCACATACAGAGATAGGGGACTAGACATATTACAGAGTTAGGGGACTAGTCAATTACAGAGGTGGGGAACTAGTCACTTACAGAGGTAGAGGAACTAGCCACAAAAAGAGGTAGAGTGACTAGTCACATACAGAGGTAGAGGGACTAGCCACATACAGAGGTAGAGGGCCTTGTCACATATAGGGGTAGAGTGACTAGTCACATACAGAGGTAGAGAGACAAGCCACAGACAGTGACAGAGTAACTAGTTACATGGAGAAATGTGATAGTGACTAGCTACATACAGCCCACATAAAGCAATAGAGCAACTAGCAACATACACTAACGTGATATAGATGCTGGTGTTGAATGTTACAGATTCTCCATCAACCTGAGTGCGAACTCCCAGATAAGCCCCATGCGTGACACTGTCCTCCACTTTAACGTGAGATTCAACGAGAACGCCATCATCCGGAACTCCCAGCAGAACGATGCCTGGGGACAGGAGGAGCAGGAAGGGGGTATGCCACTCCGGAAGGGGACGCCATTTGAAATCGTCTTCCTGGCGGATCCTCAATACTACAAGGTAATCCCCTTGACCATATTGGTTGAGGGATACTAAAATATATGAACAAATTATTCAAGCATGTTAGTTTATCACATTTATACATGTTGCCCTTCAGACTTTTATTCGATTTTTTTTGCTTTATGAGAGAAGTGAAGTGAATCATCATTGGGAGGTGGCGGTTTTTGTACAAAACACATCAGCTGCTGCCAGTGACAAGTTTATTCACAACCTGTTAAAATGATCAGTGATCACTAGAATTTACCACAACCTCCAGCTTCCTCCAGTGGTAGATTCTTAATACAAACTAACTCCATTGATGGAGTAGTGGTAATATTACCTGACGGAGCAGCCTATTGTTTTAGAGAATTTGTTTCGCCTTATGCATCTGCAAAAACACCTGACCTTTTTGGGATGGATTTTGTGGTTCCAGCCACAACTGCTTGCATTAAACCAGGATTTCCACACTGCCATAAGTATGGTCAAATAGCAAAGTGCCTTCATCTCCACAGATTTCCGTAGACGGCAGCCACTTTGCCAACTTCTGCCATCGCGTTCCCATGGAGAGTGCTCAGTACCTGGTCATCATCGGCGAGGTCAACGTCAGCTACGTCAAGTTTGAGGGTGGTGCAGTAAGTCTTCACCTTTTTCATCATCATCATCACCACGGAAACGTTACTATTACTACGGCAAGAATATTTCCTTTTTCTCCACTGTAACTGCTCCGGATGCTGCTGCATGAAAGTTTTTCCTTCCTGGCACGATATGACATAGAATACCCTGGTGTACATTACAAGACAGGATGACCACAGTACTGGTGTCACAGATCAATGTTACAGCAAAGTTATTAAATTTAGTATTGATACGGTGCCATCTGATAGAGGACATACTTAATTGGTCATATAAGCTTTAATATTAGGAGATTTAACTCTAATGTTCTGTAATTTAATTAATGTAGATTTCCGAAGGGATAATTCGAGATGTCATTTCGAGTGAAATAGAAATGCCTTCTGAATGCATTTTTGGAACGGGTTGAACAACTAGTAATGGATATGTATGGATACTTTCGCAAATTTCAGTAAGAAAGTTTTATATGGACAGACTGATCTCACACAGCAAATTAGTGTGTAATATGAACAGATAATTCTACAGATATTGTTTTTAATTGACTTATTTATTCAACCCCCTCCTCCTGGATATGCCCCTCCTCCCGGCTATGCCCCTGGCTATGTCCCCGGATCATTTGTCACCACTCGCCCCTTTCCGTAACCTGCAAGAAGACTCGTCCCCCTATCGATGCTTGTTATGTGCGAAAATACTACAAACCAATAAGAACGCGCGTAAATGACTGCTGTGCTTTGGTAAAAATAATCCCGAGTACTTAAATCGTTTATGGCATTGTGGCATTGTTTAAAAATCATGAAAAATATATATCGTCATATTGAAAGTACAAAGAACTTGGCTAACAGAATTTTGCTGCCTATTAGGGTGTTTTTGATAAGAATCATGCGATTGACGGTGAGAGCTTCAAATACACGCACGTGCGTTTGTTTTGACATAACGGTTCTCATGGGTCCAACTGAGGGTGTTTCTGACGATCTTGAGGGCTTGCTATGGAGATTGTACGTGCGCTTCCAACAATTTTAGGAAATGTAATTATAAATCGCTACGAGTTTCAAAACAATAATATTAATTTTTCCTAATCTTGACTCATGTATTATTGCTTGTCTCCCTCTTCCCGCGAACGTTAGTGGAACACTTGTTCCCTTAAAAAAAGCAGACGTAAAATCACTACTCACCACGAGTTGCCTCCCTCTCCGTTTTGGCGGGAAAACGGCGCCACCCGTCTTCCCACTCTTCACTCTCTCCTTCTTTGCCCTAGTGGACGGTTGGGAGAGCACCTGTGTCTCCAACACGGCACTATATCCTTTGCTAACTTAGTTATTACCCTATAAGTTACCTTTATAAGGTTTCAGGGAGTATCCTTCTACAATACGGTTTGAAATTTATTAGCAAATTTGACTGTTTATTCACGGTTTCACGTGATTGTTCAGTTTGTTTACATTTCATGAAAACCTGTTTTCGTTGTAGGTTTAGGTTCTCTGCTGCAGACCCGCATTTATTGTGCCTTAGTTGCACAACAATATGTACTTCCAGCTCTGAATTTAATAATTATTATTTCTCTGTATTTAGACGTGCTAAGGATAAATCCAGGCGGCTGTTACAAGTCATGGCTAAACCGGTTGAGTCCCCTAAAGAGCTGTCTGTCGTTGCCAGACGACATACTTCCATCCAGTGACCTGCTGGAGGCGTCTTCAGAAGATGGGCGTGGGATGAAGTCCGCCGTTACGTCGAAGAAAAGATCTTCTACGTCGGACAACTCCTCAACCCATACGAAGAAGAAGAGGCCATCTTCGTCGCAGAAGAAGCCTTACACCCCTAAGGCTTCAACGAGATCTACTGGGAGCTCTTCACAGACTACAAGGACCTTCTCTGCCGAGATCGTCCCGATGGAAGAAATAGGCTTGTACGAAGAACCGCCTATCCTCATCCCAGAGATACTGCATAAGAAGAAGACGCAGGCCTCAGCAACGGTAACGTCAGCAACATTATCGACGCAGTCTGAGTTACCTTCTACACTGGCAACAGGGACCCATGAGGTACAGCGATCCCTGGACCATATCGCTACCCTCTCAGATGCGTCATCTTTACAGTCGTCGCACACATTCAACCCCCGGGACCTTCATGCAGCAATTCTCCCCACAGATGATGGACCTGATGGAGAAGCGCTTCACGCAGGAAAGGACCTTGCATGATGGTCAGGCAGTCGCCTCTCATGCTCAAGTCAAGAGGGACCAGTGCTGCACGAAGGACCACGCACCCGTGGTGCATCTGAGATATCTACAAGAGGTTCTAGCTCTAAGACTAAGAGCAGACCTACCCTGCACGACGTCAACGAACCTGCGCGAAGGAAGGGACATTCATCCAACCAAAATAGATCGTCATCTGATGATGAAGCTAATGAAGAGCCTTCGCGCAGGCTACCTACATCACAGAGATACAGAGAGACGTCTCAGGACTCAGACCCTCAACAAAATCTCTCACCTGCGCGAAAGGTCGTCAGATAGATCATCAAGAATGTCACCATCACCATGCAGGTCGTCACGGGATTCACCACATAGGAATATATTGCCTTCGCGAAGGCATCCCCGGACAAGTAGACGCTCACCTCCACGCAGGTCGCCATACAGATCGCCTCTTAGAACTACACATAGTTCTACGTACTCATCTCCACACAGATTGCCACGCAGATCTCCATGCAGGGAGGATACTCAACGATCATATCCAACTGGACATGATACAGAGGCCTTGCTAAGGCTATGAAGTTACAAAGTCAACATATTCCCAACGTCCAAGCTTGGGAATTCCCGCTACTTTACATGGGACCCTGCATAGGCTCCAGAGATTGATGTAAATTACAAAATCATCAACGACTCCCTTTGTAGAACTTACAACAAAGTTGAGCATCAACTCTACAAGGACCTGTGTGTTTCAACACAAAGAGGGTATTTTACGACGCTTCATTGAGATCGATGAATGCAGTCTACAGGTGGCAGCGCTGAGGAGGTGTGGACTTCAGCTGATCATCTGTATAAAAGGACGACTGCATCATCTTCAGGACTGAAGTAACAGTCACTGCAGCCAGGAAAACAGCCTACCTACATCGGTATTACGCGGCGAAATCTTTCGAGCGTTTACCATTCAACCCTCTATACACGTGGTCACTCGTGTAACTCTGGAAGGCTAAGGACAAGACCGAGTGTTGATAAGATTCTACAAGGACCTTTTTTCTGCTAAACCAGTGACGTCACATCGCGGGAAGCTAAAGGAATCAAAATGCTTCATTTTGATTGGTCCATCAGAGACAACGCCCTGCGCAGAAGTCGGACGTAGTTCACATGTCAGGGAAGTGTTTACAACAACCTTTCAATGTGGGAGGAAGGCCTCAATTACAGTCCAGTTAGACGGGAACTACGTGATTCGACTGTCTTCACGGGGTTAGAGATCTTCCCTGTCAGCATGGACGACGGTCCATTAGGGGAATGGCAGCAACATACGTTTGACTGACTTTTGCTTACGGCAGCCAGTCTACCTTATATAGACTTCACAACGATGGCAGTCACAGAGTTGGGCATTGCTACGTTTCCCTTACGGACATGGCAAGGGTTTCACGATCGTTGGATCTAGATACAAGCCATTGTATCTCAAGCACTACTCTCTCCGTTATTACTACGAAGTTGGCAGAGCCTACTCAGTCCTCTCACGTCAGCACATGACTTGCAGAGGGAGACTACGTCTATGCCACTCCAAATCTTAGTGAATGGCCATCGGGACGATCCGGACCTCTTCCGACTTCCGGACGGACTAAAACCATATCTACTATGGTGGACTTTGAGATCAAATGGTTGCGGAGAGTCCTACTTAGTAAAGCCGGAGTGCAACACTCATCTCTACGTAGATGCATCCCATCAGGGATGGAAAGCGCACCTCGACAACGAAGTGTCAGCTGGGAAATGGACGTTACAGGAAGAAAATCTGCATATCAACATGCTCGAGATGAAAGCAGTTATCAACGCCATACTTCACTGGACCAGCATTCTAAGAAATGCTTATCTGATGATCCATACGGACAACGATTAACAAGGTTGGCGAACCTTCTGGACCTCTGCTTTCATCTGTTCAGCATATTGGAGAATCTGAACATCTACAGTCTACGACCATACCACTGTGAAAACACCGCTTCTCGTCTGCTCCGCGAAGTTAAGCCCCGTCGGGCCGGGATGGTACTTGGATGGGTGACCGCCTGGGAACTCCCGGTGCTGTAGACGCATAAGCATGCCACATTCTAGGAGCAAAGAATGTGATAGCAGACCCCCATATCTCGTCCAACACAACCATCCCCAACAGAATGGATGCTACAACCAGAGGTCTTCAAACAAACCATACAATCGCTAGGAGCTCCGCTCATAGACTTGTTCGCCACAAGATTCAACAATCAACTAGCAACATTCGTCTCTCCAATACCAGATCCACGAGCATGGGCAACAGATGCTCTAAGCATCTTTTGGGAAGGACTAAACGCTTACGCATTCCCGCCTCCAGCTCTAATACAACAAGTGTTGCAGAAAATCAAGCAGACAAGGAACCTGCAATTGATTTTGCTTGCGCCTTATTGGCCAGCGAGAATGTGGTTTCCCATTCTCATGCAAGAAGTAGGACCTCCTCAAATGCAACTACCAGAGTGGACGAACTTGCTAGTACATCTGCACACCAAGCAAGCACACGGGAACCTCACAGTGTTCCGCCTACACGCATGGACCGTATCAAGGCTTGCTTGAATAAGCGAGGATACTCCGCCAGGGTAGCGAAAGCGGTCACTCTAGCTTAGCAAATCAACCCGCAACTTGCAGGACAACAAGTGGCGAAGCTTTGAGACTTATTCTTTCAGGAAAGGCTTCACAGCCATGAAAGCAACACACCCTCAAGTGGCGGACTATCTTTGTCATCTAAGACAAGCAAAGCGGTTAAAAGGTTCAACACTCTCAACATACAGTGGCATTGAGCTCAGTTTATCACCATGAGGACGAGTGTAAAACTGACTATGGTACCAGAGAGACTGACCTTACTACGATCCTTCAAGTTGAAGGACCAACAACAGAGATTTAAAGCTTTGGCTTGGGACCTCAATATAGTTCTACAGCATCTCACCAGTGACGCTTATGAACCATTAGATAGGACATCTTATGAGATCTTGACACAGAAAACTCTATTTCTGATTGCCTTAGCAACAGCAGCAAGGATGTCGGAAATACATGCTCTGGACTTTGAAAGGACACGTTTTGATGAGCATCGAAACATCGTACATATGGGTCTAAGATGGGACTTTATAGCAAAGAATCAACTACCAGGTCAACCTGGTAGACAATTCCACATCCCAGCATTATCATCAGTCCTTGGGCCTCAGGATACACAGGACCTATCCTTGTGCCCAGTAAGAGCATTAAAAGTCTACCTACAAAGGTCTACGACCAGGAGACGAAAATTCAATTTAATCCCTATATCGGCAGAGACACAGACAGAGATCTCTCGCACTACGATATCAATATGGATGAGAACTGTCATTCTAAGGGCCTACAAAGCAGCAGGACTTGATCCTCCACGAGCCTCCAATCCACATGAAATAAGAGCTCTGACGTCAACACTCGCTCTACATGGAAACTGCTCCATCACTACGATAATGGAGGGCTGCTTCTGGGAATCGGACATGGTGTTTGCCAACCACTACCTGAGAGACATCGCCACCGAGGATGTCTCCGGCATTCACCATTTCGGCCCTCTTGTTGTAGCACAACAACTGACAGTTCCACTAAGGCGCTGAGACAGAGTCTCGCCCTTTTATCACGTGACTTGCAAAAGCCAACACTCTGGGGAGTTAGAGCTTTAGAGTCCACGTGCACGTCTAAGATAGTTTAGCATGAGTGATAGATCCAGTACTTGTAAGGACGTACTCGTACATAAGAAGGGTTATTCTCCACTTGATGCATGCATCAAGAGATGGAGTTGTTAAAATCCACATATAATGTTAACAGAAGTAAGGACCCAAAGTTGACAATTGTGGTCCCCCCATCAGAGAAATATGGAAGTAAGGGTTACAGCAGCAGAGCCTAGCAGTAAATTTGAAGTGCTACCAGGAAGTTCCCATAGGGGGGTATGCAAGACATTAATCACCAAACTGGAATCCAGAAGTGGCTTGACCCACCACCAAATCCGTAGGATTCTACAAGCAATAATACATGAGTCGGGATAAGGAAAAATATGTAATTTTCGGATTAAAATTGATATTTTATACTTATCCTGACTCATGAAGTAAGCCCTCCCAACCTCCCCGCTAGGCACGTTGGATTTCCCAGCAAATCTAAGTGTCGGGCTTGCAATTCGGAGAGAGTAAAGAGTGGGAAGACGGATGGCGCCGTTTTCCCCGCCAAAACGGAGAGGGAGGCAACTCATGGTGAGTAGTGATTTTACGTCTGCTTTTTTTAAAGGAGCTTCAAAAAGGAGATACAAGTGTTCCACTAACGTTCGCGGGAAAAGGGAGACAAGCAATAATACATGAGTCAGGAAAATTACATTATCTGTATGTAACTAATCAACTTTAATCTTTAACATTGGGCATATATTTAAATTCTCTGGGAATATTTTAGTCTGACCTTCTTGTGGTCATTCATATATTTTTCAGCGAATTCAGTTAAAAGTCCTCTTGTGGTAGTATGACAGCAAGGTTACACGTATGTTCAGTTTGAGAAATATTATAAAAGTCATTTTTTGAGTTTCTGCTTTGGGATTTAATGTAGCGGGCTTTTTACAAATTTTATTTGCGTATTAAAAAAAAATCCCATTTGTGATTATGAAACCCTTTTCAGAATTATGATTGGAAATGTAAGGTGAATATCTGGTAATAATTACGTCATAATATGTCTTTAACAAATATGTTTTTTTCTTTCTTTTAGTTGTACCAAGGAGGTTTAATTCTTTAGAATAAATAGCAAAACCAAAAACAGCAATCCAATGTATGAGTACTTCGGTGATATTAAGTACCATTGGAATCAAACAGGAATAGAGTTATCGTTCCTGTTTGAAGTAGTTCTGATGTTCCTATGCCAATATGAAATCCTTCCAGAGGGGCACGAGTCGCCATTCGGCTTGTCCCGGAATAACACGAGTTGGTCACGAATGGTTGGTCTCGTGACTCACTTGGTTGCATGTAATTGTAAACCCGAAGTTGCTCGTGATATTGATCACTGGTTCATCATATCCATGATTTCTTTGAGGCCGCCACCATACCTTTTGATTATTGCTGATTTTGGAGTTGAACATCAAACCAGTCTCACTTTAATCTAAGTGCTAACTATTGCTTTTCACTGATCTCACTATATTTGATCACCTATGAACTGACCAATCAGAGAATATGCCAATGTGTTTTCTTATCATGCATTCACAAAGGGAAGAAACCTTCTATATCCAACAGAAATACTTTCATACAGTTTCGGCAAGCTGTTAGTCATTCCAGAATATTCTTTTGTTCAGGGGGCGGTGGGGTAGCCTAGCGGTTAAAGCGTTCGCCCTGACGCCAAAGGCCCGGGTTCGATTCCACATACGGTTACAATGTGTAAAGCTGATTTCTTGTGTCCCCCGTTTGCTGGAATATTGTCAAAAGCGGCGTAAAACTAAATTCACTGACTCACTCTTTTGTTCAATTTGCAACTTTTGTAATCAAAATACTTTTAATGTGAAGTTTTGAATGATAGCTGTGAAAAAAGCCCTCATTGGCTAATATCAACTTCCTGTTAGGCATTGATTGGTCATTCAAAGTTTGCAAATTGTTGTTCTGATGTGACTAGCAATGGGATGTTGTTACATCTTTGTGTAGTGGTAGCGAAGAGTGAGACCTTATTTGAATGTGATTGAACAACAAATAATAGCGTGTCACTGCTTACTAACATGTTGTATATATGCTTGAACACCTAATCCTCACAATACTGTAGTTTTTTTGTTATCTAGTGACATCTGACAGAGGTTGCATGAGAGCTATATCATGTAAGGAAATGCAACTTGCTGTGCTGAATCTTCATATGGGTTCCATTCCCAAAGCAGACCTGATTATGATCCTTGGTCTGTTCATATAAACTCTTGCTTGGTAGCCTTTTAGTAGCCTTAATAACGTTTTTAACACTGTTTGATAATATGTGATATCATGTACCATACATGTGCCATGTATGTACCATGTACGTGACATGCATGTGCAATGTATGTCATGAACGTGACATGTATGTGCCCTGTACGTGACATGTATGTGCCCTGTACGTGACATGTATGAGCCATGTACGTGACCTGTATGTGCCCTGTACGTGACATGTATGTGACTTATACATGAAATGTATATGTGCCTGTACGTAATATGTATGTGCCCTGTACGTGACATGTATGTGACATATATGTGCCATGTATGTTATTGTGTGTGTTTGTACAGAGTCCAGCAAATTCAGATGCTCAACCCATGTACAACCCGGTGAGTTGTGATTTTTTGTTCATTGAACTCAATCGTTTCAAACACAATAACCCATTCCAGATTACAATAGGTCCCAGCATGTTTGAGTTGGACTCCCCATGGATCCGTCAGGATCAGTGAACTAAATTTCTACATGCCTTCAGTAAATGTATACCCTGTCCATGTGACACACCAGTGTAGACACTCATAAACATGTCTTCAGTGAATTTACATCCTGACCATGTGGCACACCAGTAGAGACCCCCATCCTAATGCCTTCAGTAAATGTATATCCTGTCCATGTGACACACCAGTGTAGACACTCATAAACATGTCTTCAGTGAATTTACATCCTGACCATGTGGCACACCAGTAGAGACCCCATCCTAATGCCTTCAGTAAATGTATACCCTGTCCATGTGACACACCAGTGTAGACACTCATAAACATGTCTTCAGTGAATTTACATCCTGACCATGTGGCACACCAGTAGAGACCCCCATCCTAATGCCTTCAGTAAATGTATATCCTGTCCATGTGACACACCAGTGTAGACACTCATAAACATGTCTTCAGTGAATTTACATCCTGACCATGTGGCACACCAGTAGAGACCCCCATCCTAATGCCTTCAGTAAATGTATATCCTGTCCATGTGACACACCAGTGTAGACACTCATAAACATGTCTTCAGTGAATTTACATCCTGACCATGTGGTGTGGGTACACCAGTAGAGACCCCCATCCTAATGCCTTCAGTAAATGTATACCCTGTCCATGTGACACATGTCTTCAGTGAATTAAGTGTAGACACCCCCGTATAACATGTCTTCAGTGAATTTACATCCTGACCATGTGGCACACCAGTAGAGACCCCATCCTAATGCCTTCAGTAAATGTATACCCTGTCCATGTGACACACCAGTGTAGACACTCATAAACATGTCTTCAGTGAATTTACATCCTGACCATGTGGTACACCAGTAGAGACCCCCATCCTAATGCCTTCAGTAAATGTATATCCTGTCCATGTGACACACCAGTGTAGACATCCTCATAAACATGTCTTCAGTGAATTTACATCCTGTAGACCATGTCTTCAGTGAATTTACATCACCATGTAGAGACCCCCATCCTAATGCCTTCAGTAAATGTATATCCTGTCCATGTGACACACCAGTGTAGACACTCATAAACATGTCTTCAGTGAATTTACATCCTGACCATGTGGCACACCAGTAGAGACCCCCATCCTAATGCCTTCAGTAAATGTATATCCTGTCCATGTGACACACCAGTGTAGACACTCATAAACATGTCTTCAGTGAATTTACATCCTGACCATGTGGCACACCAGTAGAGACCCCCATCCTAATGCCTTCAGTAAATGTATACGCTGTCCATGTGTCACACCAGTGTAGACACTCATAAACATGTCTTCAGTGAATTTACATCCTCACACCAGTAGAGACCATGTGGCCTTCACACCAGTATGAGACCCCAGTGTATCACTCATAATGCCTTCAGTAAATGTATATCCTGTCCATGTGACACACCAGTGTAGATCACTCATAAACATGTCTTCAGTGAATTGTACATCCTGACCATGTGGCACACCAGTAGAGACCCCATCCTAATGCCTTCAGTAAATGTATATCCTGTCCATGTGACACACCAGTGTAGACACTCATAAACATGTCTTCAGTGAATTTACATCCTGACCATGTGGCACACACCAGTAGAGACCCCATCCTAATGCCTTCAGTAAATGTATATCCTGTCCATGTGACACACCAGTGTAGACAGTCTTCAGTGAATTTACATCCTGACCATGTGGCACACCAGTCCCCCATAATGCCTTCAGTGTCCATTCAGTGAATTTACATCCTGACCATGTGGCACACCAGTAGAGACCCCATCCTAATGCCTTCAGTAAATGTATATCCTGTCCATGTGACACACCAGTGTAGACACTCATAAACATGTCTTCAGTGAATTTACATCCTGACCATGTGGCACACCAGTAGAGACCCCATCCTAATGCCTTCAGTAAATGTATATCCTGTCCATGTGACACACCAGTGTAGACACTCATAAACATGTCTTCAGTGAATTTACATCCTGACCATGTGGCACACCAGTAGAGACCCCCATCCTAATGCCTTCAGTAAATGTATACGCTGTCCATGTGACACACCAGTGTAGACACTCATAAACATGTCTTCAGTGAATTTACATCCTGACCATGTGGCCTCACACCAGTAGAGACCCCCATCCTAATGCCTTCAGTAAATGTATACCCTGTCCATGTGACACACCAGTGTAGACACTCATAAACATGTCTTCAGTGAATTTACATCCTGACCATGTGGCACACCAGTAGAGACCCCCATCCTAATGCCTTCAGTAAATGTATACCCTGTCCATGTGACACACCAGTGTAGACACTCATAAACATGTCTTCAGTGAATTTACATCCTGACCATGTGGCACACCAGTAGAGACCCCCATCCTAATGCCTTCAGTAAATGTATATCCTGTCCATGTGACACACCAGTGTAGACACTCGTAAACATGTCTTCAGTGAATTTACATCCTGACCATGTGGTACACCAGTAGAGACCCCCATCCTAATGCCTTCAGTAAATGTATATCCTGTCCATGTGACACACCAGTGTAGACACTCATAAACATGTCTTCAGTGAATTTACATCCTGACCATGTGGTACACCAGTAGAGACCCCCATCCTAATGCCTTCAGTAAATGTATACACCTGTCCATGTGACACACCAGTGTAGACACTCGTATAACATGTCTTCAGTGAATTTACATCCTGACCATGTGGCACACCAGTAGAGACCCCATCCTAATGCCTTCAGTAAATGTATATCCTGTCCATGTGACACACCAGTGTAGACACTCATAAACATGTCTTCAGTGAATTTACATCCTGACCATGTGGCACACCAGTAGAGACCCCTGTCATCCTAATGCCTTCAGTAAATGTATATCCTGTCCATGTGACACACCAGTGTAGACACTCATAAAACATGTCTTCAGTGAATTTACATCCTGACCATGTGGGTCACACCAGTAGAGACCCCCATCCTAATGCCTTCAGTAAATGTATATCCTGTCCATGTGACACACCAGTGTAGACACTCATAAACATGTCTTCAGTGAATTTACATCCTGACCATGTGGCACACCAGTAGAGACCCCCATCCTAATGCCTTCAGTAAATGTATATCCTGTCCATGTGACACACCAGTGTAGACACTCATAAACATGTCTTCAGTGAATTTACATCCTGACCATGTGGCACACCAGTAGAGACCCCCATCCCTAATCCTAATGCCTTCAGTAAATGTATACCTGTCCATGTAGAGACACACCAGTGTAGACACTCATAAACATGTCTTCAGTGAATTTACATCCTGACCATGTGGTACACCAGTAGAGACCCCCATCCTAATGCCTTCAGTAAATGTATATCCTGTCCATGTGACACACCAGTGTAGACACTCATAAACATGTCTTCAGTGAATTTACATCCTGACCATGTGGTACACCAGTAGAGACCCCCATCCTAATGCCTTCAGTAAATGTATATCCTGTCCATGTGACACACCAGTGTAGACACTCGTAAAACATGTCTTCAGTGAATTTACATCCTGACCATGTGGCACACCAGTAGAGACCCCCATCCTAATTCTGATGTCCCCGTACGTGATATTGTTGAGTATTGCAACATGGCGTAAACCATACTCAGTCACTCACTTACATTGCTCAAGCGTGATGCCTCTGTCTAGGGTTTGCCATAGACTCGGTCAGTTGCAGGCTGCTCGATACAACTGAATGTGCTGCAGTTATGTAAGTACGTTTATTTTAATTGAGAGTATTACAATACACTCTCTAGAACTTGTCTTTCCACCGCATTTGATTTTAGTTGTTGTCACCAATGCATTTGAAACGTTTTTTATGTGAACAGTTTTTAACTGAAGGAAAATGATTAAACCTAGCATTATCTCAAACTGTTGTCATAAAGCATTTGAACTGCATAATGGCACCAGATCATGTTTGGTTTTATTTTATTAGTTATTCTGTCTCTGTCGTTGCCATACCCAGACAGACATGATTGTAGACATTTCAGGATGGCTGTACATGTAATAAGATCAATACAAGGGCCTTTTCAACCCACAGGGAACAGCATTCCTCATTCAGCGTTTCCACCTGGTTGGCGGGTTCTTCATAAGCCTGATGTGTGGTCAATTGTAAGCGGACATTGGCTTTCAGTTTGGTGTAGATTCAAGCTATCTCGACGATTGCAACCAGACCGTCAGGAACCACAGAGTCAACAATGTTTGGGGACTGAGGGGAGAAACGCAGAACTACTTCCCCTTCGTGCCCAATGCCGAATTCAACATGACCATCCTCATTGGAAGAAGGCGAAATCAAGGTTGAAACATTTTAGGTGTTTTTCATGTGAAAATCCTCCTCAAATAAGATTATGAAAAGAACATGTGATGGAGGCATTAAGATATAAAAGTAAATGTTTAAAGTACAACTGGTCACTTTTACCGCTTACGTCTTCATTTGTAGGGGACATAACTAGCGCTGTTATACCTCTTAATGAGTTAATGACCACATGGTTTAGAATACCAGTTCATCATTTTGATGAAAGATGGTCCAATTACAGCACTGAGGTTATAATTTGTGGGGACTTAACTCTTGTTATGCCTCATTATGATTAGTTACCACATATTTTTTTAATACTCGTACTGGTGCATCAATTAGGGTTAGATGGATATTTATTAACTCTTTTGGCGATTAAGTACAGACTCAGGGTTTAAGGTTTGGAATCAGAAGGCCTCAACAGAAAGTACGGGAAATCAGATTTTACTAGAAAGATTTTTGAAACAGGATAACGCTATGGCGCATGTTGATTTAAGACATCGCAATAATTTATTATAGTAGGCAAAGTTATCCTGAACTTGTTTGTTCACTTCATGGTTTGGTT